GGCAGCCCCTCCCCGTGCCGTCGCGCCCTGCCAGCGGTGCCATGAGGCAGGTGCGACCCACGCCAGGCTTTCCCACGCGATGCTCGCCTCCATCCACGTGAGACGGTGGTGGTGCGAAGGCAGCCTCCGAAGCAATAGGGAGCTGGGGTTGCATTTCCAGTTGCTATCCTTTTTTTTTTTCCCCTTAATTCTGTGCGCACCCTGCCAGCGGTGCCATGAGGCAGGTGCGACCCACGCCAGGCTTTCCCACGCGATGCTCGCCTCCATCCACGTGAGACGGTGGTGGTGCGAAGGCAGCCTCCGAAGCAATAGGGAGCTGGGGTTGCATTTCCAGTTGCATTCCTTTTTTTTTTTCCCCTTAATTCTGTGCACAGGAAAGTGAGCCCCCCCCCCTTTTTTTTTCTTTTTTTGTTGTTTTTTTTACACCCGGCGAGGGGCGAGCAAGAGGCCGAGGGGGTCGTGGTTCCTCCTTCTTGGCTACTCCCTGTGAGACGCGGGGAGCCCCCCCCAAGGCAGGATCTGAGGCTGCTCCATCCTCCGGCAAAACCGTCTCATTTCTGGTGTACAGGTATTCAGCGCCACGCTGGGCAGTAAAGCAAAAGGATGCCAGCCCCATCTCTTCCCCTACGGCCAGGTTTCCATCTGACAGAAGCACCGCTGTGCTCTCGGTAACACTTTCTATTAAGAGTAGGTCCAGCTGAGCTCCGGCACGGCGTGTTTCACCGCCCCGTCCCCGCTGCCAGGGCCATGCGCTGCCCTGCAGCCCCAACGCCATGGGGTTGGGGGTCACACTGCAGCTCCCTTCCCACCCCCAGCAGCCGCTTCGGGAACCAAACCCCGTTCCCCTTGCTCCCCCCAAAAAATTAGGAATAAAAAGAGGAAAGGGGATGGGGGGACATGGGTCCGTCTCAGGTGGCTGCGAGAGCCCCGGCCGGGGAAGGGCAGCAGCACTCATCTCCATCCCTCGCCTTCACGGCAAACCTACCGGGCTTCACCACCAGCCCCCCGACCTCATCTCGTCAGGATTTATTAACACGTGTAAGTCCACGTTATCGGTCTCCGGCTAGCTTTATCCCTCCAAATTGTTTGAGAAGGAAACTCCTTGGTAAATGCTAATAATAAAGCATTTATAAAGTGCTCGGACGTACACATATCAACGGCTAAGCCAATACATTGTTTGTTATAACCCTGTAGCCTGCAGTTTATAGCACAATTAGTTACAGGTTTTTATAGCATCTATTTAGTATTTTGGAAAAAAAAATGTTATAAATATAATTGTTATATTCTATTGTACTTTATAGACAGAGAAAGTTATATTAGTAATAATAATTCTTAACTGCTTCGACAACATTTCGCAGCTCCCAAGAAAAAAGAGGGCTACAAAGAGCTACTTTCCCAAAAGCTCAGGAGGGGGTAGGTGGTGGTACCCGCCGGGTACAGGCAGGGAAACCGGGGGGGGATGGTACCTGCCAGGTACAGGCAGGGAAACTGGGGCAGGGAGGTCCGGAGCGTGGCCAGGCTCGCGGGGATCAGAGCAGCCAGGAGCACAGCAGCAGCTACGTCCCACCTGCGCCTTGCCCCTGCTCACACCCTTAGTACAAAGTGTTACCGCTCGCCCAATGCCACCCTGGTCCTGCTAAAAATAACCTGCTCCTGAGCCTGGGAGAGGCTGAGGATGTCCCCACCGCTGTCCCCAGGGCAGTGCTGGGTTTCTGCACCCGTGTGCGTGGTGCCGCGGGAGGCGACGCCTGGGTTCAGTCCAGCCCCGGCGACGATGCTTCCCTCTCCTCCTCCTCCTCCTGCCCTGGTGAGTGTCCCGGTTGCCTGGACTTGGCTTTACTTTCCCCCCAGACGACTTGTCAGAGATTCCCGAGGTGTCTACACCACCTGTAACGCCCTGCACCCCCTTCTTTGAAATCAAATTAAAAATCAGGTCTGTCCCCCCTTGTTCTGTACCCGCCTCGCTGCTCTTTGCCCCTGGCGCCAGATTGCTCGTCACCCCACTGCCGCTCTCACAGCCCTTCTGTGGGAGGCAATGGTCCAGGGTGGGGGAATTTGTTTCTCCCCTGCAAAAGGAGTATTTGTGCAAGCAGGTTTTGCATCCGCAGGTCCCCGGCTCTCGCCCTTGCTGCTCCTCTGCAGGGGTGTGGGTCTGGCTTCATCCTCTCTTGGAAGATGGGGCTCTTCTGGCCCCTGGGGTGCCCTCGGAGGGATGTTTGCCGTGCACACGGACAGCAGACCAGCAGCATGAGTTCCCTTCACCAGCTGTGA